TACTTAGCTCAAAAAGGTGGGTGCGACAGATTCTCATGGATCCTTTGATGAAAAAGAATTTTAAATGAGTTCAACACAAAAATCAACTTTAAAGCTCTTCTTTTTTAATGAACAGCCCTCTTCTCATACCCATTAAAAATTTGCATCACATTAAACCAGACAGCTTTAACTAAGACCAAAGTACCTCTCTTGTCCGGCCGTATCCCATAATTGGAGCAATACCCGCTGTCCTCGTCCACCGAATCCGCCTCGGGCACTTTTATAGACCTGAAAAACATAACAACTCGCCCACAGCTTTGAGACTCGATACTGTTTAGCGGCACAGATCCGACAAACATCTAGGAAATTGCTGATGCCAAGGAGACGGATGTGGTAAATCAATATGACGGAGAAGGGTCTTAATGGTGATACACCTTTTGCCTGATAAGAACGTGCGACTCATTAATGGAATTGGGTATTTTGTCACTACAAGAACGTAAAAATAAGGAAAATCTAAAACAAAAATAAAAATCCCCTTCTTCTTAGTTTTTCTTGAAACCTATTGCTGGTTTATTTTTAATTGTCAACGGCTTATATAATTACGTATTCTACATTGCGCAAAAGTTTACAAAAAAGCTTTCGATCATCTGGGGGTCTCTCATCTTAATAGATTAGCCCTAATATTCCAATCACGGTCCTTAAACGTGATTCCTACGGCTTGTACGAATAAATTCCCTAAAAAACAACTAAAGGAGGTTTTTTTGTAAAAGAAGGTAAAGAGAACAATGGTCGTTCAGATCAAGATCCCTTTGTCTGCCCTCTATTTATGAGAAAGAAATATAACAAGCATCAGAAAGGAAAAACGAAGAGAAGGAAAGAAGAGTTTGGCAACATTCGAAAACACACTACTATCGAGCACGTGAAACAAGATAAGTTTCTATGATTTCTATAATATGTATGCACAGAACCTTTCTAGGGTGGAAGAAATTTTCGTTCCTTAGACACAATAGCCCATATGTCTACGTATTGCTATGCACTCCTACACCTACGATTCAACGAGAAAGAAATCAGTAGCAAACCACATTCCAAACCTTCAGAACCACTAATTTTTATCATCTATCATTCACTAAGGTGAATGGCAAATTTCATGATCGGACCTCCATCCTCTATAATTTTTTGTCTTCTTAGCTTTTTTGAACCAAAGTTTGAAACCTTAATATACAGTTGAAGATTCTTCTTTACAAAGGTTTACTAAACTCTAAAGTTAATTTGGGAATGTAGACACAGCGAGGAGCGCTCAAGTAACGACCCTAAATATCTTTAATGAAGTACGTGTGTGAAGTTGAAGCAGTACTTTTGATGAAAGAATGATTCAGAAAGGGAATAGATTAGCACAGGCAAATTGAAGATTCCCGCGGTCTAGATGGGAAGAACTACTAGTGTACTTTATGGGATTTCCAACAAAATGAATTTTGAATATTTAACTTTGCAAAAGGCATGCTCGCACTCTGGTTGCATTATGATTCTGGAAAGGACGTAGCCAAGAAAATATTTCGTGATAAGAATGGATGCGGCTGCTGGTAAGAAGGTTAAAATAAGCATTAAGTACTCGCGTGGAAAAGTTTAAAATTATGCATTGAGGAATAGAGAAAATGAACAATTTTAAAAGTATTTGAACAAAAAATATCCTCAAAGATTAATGTCTTCCAGATATACATCGTAATGAGAAATAGGTATCAATCTAAACAACTTTAAAAACATTTTTTTGATATGTTACTTATAGGAATACGTTTTTCTTCCGCTATTTTGTCATCTCACCTTTGGATAGATAAATTTTCGCTGCAAACTTGTACTTACCACTTTTTTCTCCTTGAAATCGATTCCTACAGTGGATATGAACTGACCAGTGAAGGTGTTGTCTGTGTAACGATGCTGTAAAAGACGTCATCAACGACTAAAAAGCAATCAACCATCAAAAATCACCAGAAATGATGTCTTTCCCACTCCAGAATCACCGAGGGCGAGAAACTTAATGAGGTAGTCGTAGTCGCCCATCGAAGGCCGCCGTCGTCGCCGTCCGTCCTATCGTCCTACCGCCGTTAGCTGGTTGCTCTCACTCTCCTCTAGGCTTCACCACCCCTAGGCAGCCGAGCGTCCGTCCGAGAATCGATTTCTACCCTTCTGCACATCTACACGCACCAAGATAATTCGTCACACGACACGCCTACGCCTTTAGAGAAGGCGAAGTTCGACCTGAGGGATGAGTTTTCGAGCTGAAAGTGTTGCGCATTGCAAAGTTCATGCGCTTGGTTCAAATATGTCCAAGATGCGGCGTATCTGAGGCTCCTCAAAAACTTAACTCAAAAAACGTTTCTTTTTAATCATCTTCTGTGAAAACCCTGAAGTACTAAGACCTCTTTTATGTTTCGGTAAGAATTATAGCTCTCGCTAGCAACAATTCTAGCCGCTGCCTCTAAAACAGCTGCACTGTGAAAGTACATGTTTTGAAAAAACCATAACCGCGTTCAAGTGACTTTTTCACTAACAATCGTAATTTATAAAAAGCAATTATGTGCATTTGTTTTTTGAAAATCTCTTAAACAACCTCTTCTAATATTACTCCCTATAAGCTTCAAAAAATTCTAAAAAAGGGAAAATAGTATCTTTATCTATGTTACATCAAATGAAATAAATGCGAGACTTGGGCATTTGAGGTTGAATCATTTGTTAAAAAAGCGCAGTATTCGAAGCTCCTGATTTTCAATAACTCGAAGGTTCGAGAATTCGCAGTGTTCCATATTTGAATAATTTGTAAATTCAAATATTTGGAAGGTCCGACTTCGGAATAATCTCATAATTTGAACAGCACCTTCATTCCCCCAGTAATTTTGAAAACTCGAAGCAGACTGACGAGCATTCGAATATCCAAACAGATCGGATTACTCAAACATTTTAACACAATATTCGAGACAGTATACAA